TGGGCATGGAGAGCTGACTTGTCAGCCCTTTTCTTATTCCCAGCACATGCTTCCTCCCTGGTGTTCTGCTTCAGTGTGAGTATATCTGAGCATGTCAGCTACAGTTCTCTTTGTTTTGTTTTCCTGAAGTACAGCTGACATACAATTCCTCGGAACTTTGACACTAATCTAGTGTTGAAGAAAAGACCTTCTGGAATGTTATCATGGGTCCAGCCACTGTCTGTGGTACAGATACCACGCTATGTACACAGGCATGTCAAGAGAAGACTGGGGTCGAAAAATCATCTAAAAATCCAGTCCTTTGGACTCGAAGGTTCTTTTTTTTTTTTCTTCAAAGATTTTATTTATTTATTTATTTGGCAGACAGAGATCATAAGTAGGCAGAGAGGCAGGCAGAGAGGCAGGCAGAGGGGGGGGGGGGGAAGCAGGCTCCCTACTGAGCAGAGAGCCCGACATGGGGCTCAATCCCAGGACCCTGGGATCACCACCCGAGCTGAAGGTAGAGGCTCTAACCCACTGAGCCACCCAGGTGCCCCTGGACTTGAAGGTTCTTTAAGTCCATCACCTTCCTTTGCTTCGGAGTGAAAAACAGCTGCTGATTATCCCTGTGTGAGTACGGAGTTGTACTGGAGAATCTGAATTCAAACACCCGTGCTCCTTCTGTGCTCAGCTGAATAATCCTGCGGGGGCCAGTGGTTCTTCTAAATCTTTCTCTTGGGAGTTAGTCTCCTCTGTCTAATCCTCTTCTGGTGCCCCTGAATGCTTTCCTGAAAGTGCTCTTAAGTTGTCAGGCACAGAGAAATGGTCCTGGATTTCGCTGACAAGTTTGACTTGCTTCTGGGTTGCTAGTTTTCTTGAGGAACCAAGGGCCGGAATTTAATACCTACTTGGCACTCCATAGGCTTCAAGGATTTCTTCCACACACTGCATCACAAAGCAAAGTTTACCAAGACAGGCACACAGCCTAGAGAGGGTGGGCAGCCCATAACCGGATTAGGGGTGATTATGTCTCACCCCGTGTCCTTCCTGCATTCTAGATGGATTAGTCACTGGAGCCTGACATTGATACATTTTTAGAAGGCTTAATTAACCCAACAAGGGTGGGAATGAGGGGGGCAATGACTCTAGCGGAAATCTGGGTTTATAAGTCACTTTCAGGAAAAGGGAATCCTAAAGCTAACTAGAACATGGGAAGAAAAATTTGCAAGATGAACCCCACTTGAACTGTCATGTCTTTGGGTTATGAGGGCTGTAGGGCACTGAGAAGAGGTAAAAACACCAATGTGTTTTTACAGAGTCTCCTTACCACTACCCCACCCCAGACCTCAGCCTCTCACTGGAGATGAATCCCACGGGCATTTAACATAATGTGGAGGTGGGCCTTCGCTTCCCATATTCTAAACACCCAGCACTGGCTCTCTACCTTCCTAGAGGGGTTTCTCCATGTGTGGCCTGTGGCCACTGGCATTAGGACCAGCTTGGGGAAATCTTGTTAAACATGTCGACTTCTCAGGTGCTTGGGTGACTCAGTTAAGCGTCTGCCTTCAGCTCAAGTCATGATCCCAGGAGTTCCAGGATCCAGATTGAGTCTCAGACTCCCTGCTCAGTGGGGAGTCGGCTTCTCCGTCTGACCCTCCCCCCTCTTGTGCTCTCTCTTTCTTAAATACATAAAATCTTTAAAAAAACAAACAAACATGCAGACTTTCTAGCTCTGTCCCTAGAGATTCTCATACAGCCACCAGGAGGGGTCCTGGGGACATGTCTCCTTGGCAAACTCCCAAGGGATGCTGATGCTCACCAAGGCTGAGGACTGTGGGGTCGCCAAGGCCTGGACCTGTATGACATCAGGTGGTAGATAAAGGGAACATCTATGTTTGACACTGGGGCAGTGACCTCAGTACGTATATCCAGAGGTATAAGTAAGGTTCCTCCCCTCCTACCCTGCAAGATTCTTTAGGCTGGTCTGGAAATTAAGTTGACATGAGACAAATTAATAGGAGAAAAAACAAAGAAGTGTAAGAAATGTGCATACTGCCTGTCTACATGAGAGAGACCCAGGAAAACTGAGTAAGTCCCTGCAGTGGCCTAAGCAGTCACCCTAAATACCATTCCCAGCTAAAGTCGAGAGAAGATGTTGGGGCTGGGAGGGTCCCTTATGGGAGGTTACCAGGGAAAGCACAGTAAACGAGTAGACTGAAGTCCATGCTTTCTCTACTCTTAAGTTTCTAGAAACTTAGGATCACCCACTGTAAAGTTTTTCCAGAGAGATAAACACGACACCAGGCAAAGTGGGTGCAAGGCAAGATTTATTAAAGGCATCTCCGGCAAAGTTTCAGGGCTCAGGAGAAGGGGAGCCAGGAAAGTTGCACCGGGAGAAGGTGGGCAACCTTGGGCGAGGTTCCGCGACTCTAGAAAGCAGAGTGGCGGAAGTCGCACCCAAGGCAGGGAGAAGGGGGCTTTTAAGGGGCCTCAAGGGGAGTTCAGGGGTCTGGCAAGTTTCCCTTATTCGGATATTTCGCCTGCTCGTTGGGGTCCCATTGGTCCACTGGAGCCAAGGGCGGGGGTCTCAGATTCCCGCTTGTCAGGGTCCCATTGGTCCACAGGAGCCCGGGGCGGGGGGGGGGTGGGGGGGGGGAGGGTTCAGATTCCTGCTTGGGTCTTTGTTCTCCTGTCCGAGCTCAGGTTTTGTGGAGGGAACTTTCGCCATCTTAAGTAGCCCTTTCTTTCTGCCAGCCCAACACCCACCCCAGCATTTGACTTCAGGGTCATTGAGTTCCAGCCCCACACTGTGTGGAGAGATTAGCTTTTAAAAAAGTAAAAAAAAAAGGGACAACGGCCCCCCCAATGGAGTAACATATGCCAAGCCCCATGTCAGCCAACCAAGATTTAATATCTGACTTAACTACAGTTTAAGCCTCTTCCAGGAATGAAACCTTTAACCAGTCAATTACCTGGTCAGCGCTAGTGAAGTCATCTGTACTATAGGCCCTGTCCTTCCCTCAAAGGAAGGTGACCTTGCCTGAAAAAATCCACTCTTTCTTTGTCTTCCTCCCTTTCTGCCTATAAAAGCCTTTCATTTTGTATAGCTCTTTGGAGCTTCTTTCTATTTGCTAGATGGGATGCTGCCTTATTCTTGAGTCATTGAATAAAGTCTATTTGATCTTTAAATTCACTCAGTTGACTTTTGTTTTTTAACAGCAGACATGGCATAAAGCCATATCAATCTAATGGCCTCCTTGTTTAATTAATGTAATAGGCTGCTCAGCAAATGGAGAATTTCCGTGGGACTTACGTGCTTAGGTATTACGTGCTTGTTATGTGTTTGTCAAAGGAGTGACACAGTTGGGAGGAGACGGAAGGTCAGAACTCTTTAGAGACTGCCTGAACCTACAACCACCCCTCCCACCTCCCATTCATCTCCTCCCCTGACTCCCAGTAGGAAGAATGACCTTACTCCTGAAACTCTCAACTATCTTAATTTGCTACTGGGAGGGGGGAGGACATTAGACACAACCTTAGCTTGACAATTCCAAGCCCTCCAGTAGCATGAAAATCTTCTTTAGCATATGAAAGTGCTTTTGGAGACCTCCCTTTGTCCTTACCTCCCCAAACCCTATAGTATATCATCAGCCATTTCTCACAACCCCAGTGCAGTTGCTGTTTCTGCCCATGGGTCCTGACCCCATGCTTTAATGAAACCACCTTTTCGCACCAAAGAAGTCTCAAGAATTCTTTCTTGGCCCTCGGCTCCAAAACTCACCTACAATCTGTAAAGGCCTATGCAGCCAGAGTGGCGCCACCCCAGTTGAACTGCTATTTTGTTGTTTATGCGGTAAAACTTAAATTGACCCTGCCCACCCCCAAGGGAACTTACTTAAAAGCAAGTCCGGGAAACCAGTCCCAGGTCACAAAGCCCAAATACAAGGGTGGGTCAAGTCAGGTGGAGACATTCAATCAGTGGGGGTGCATACTGTCTCGTAGCTACCAAGGAGTATGGACCCCGCCTTGGGGTGCCTTTTGGGTGCCCATTCTGACTAAAGTGATAGGCTAGTTCAAATAGCTACTATGGGGTGAATTGTAGTTCAATTGACTACCCGTGTGTGACCTAGCATGACTGTGCAGCTTTCTCTGTGTATTGCAATCTCATTGGCCACCTGTGTGTGGCCAGGTTCAACCGCATGGCCTTTGCTCTATAAAAGTTAGTCTGTGAGGCAGGGAGGGGTTGCGCTCTCTGTAAGAGGTGTGGCACCGGCCCGTTGGTTTGATTCTCAATGCTTGGCGCGGAATAAAGCTTTGCCAGACCTTCGCATTGTGTCAGTCTTGCTCCTTTAATCACGGACCCGTTATTGGAGGACCGAACACTGGGGACCCAACAAATCAAAACTACATCAAAGGTCGTAAGAGACCAAGACTGAGAAACTGGTCCAGAATCAGGGAGACCACAGTGACATTACAAGAAATGTAACTCCTGGATTGGACCCTAGATGTGGAGAAAATAGCTCTAAAGGACATCATACACAAAACTGGCAAATTTTGAGTATGAACTGTGTATTAGTTAATAAACTATTAATGTAAAATGTCTTACTTTTACTTAGCCTGTAGTTATGCAGGAAAATGTCCTTGTGCCTAAAAGATTATATAAAGTATCAAGGTGAAGGATCCCGAAGTCTGCAACTTGGTTGCAAATGGTTGGGGGTGAGTGGGGAGTGGCCTATGCAAATGAAGTTGAAATGAAAAACTAAATGGGACAAAAGTTAACTAGTAAATATAAGTAGAAGGTATATGGGAGCTCTTTACACTACTTTTAGAACCTCCAGTAAGTTTGAAATTACATTAACACGAAACGTTCCCACCGACAACCCAACGTCACGCGCCTTCGGAACAAAAACCAAAACAAACACAAAACTGTAATCTTTTTACAGCTCGCGATATCCAAAGGAGCCTAAGCTAGTCTGTCGGGATTGAAATCGACCACCAAAAATCTTGAGTCACGTGGGGCAGGCCCACGTGATCGGAGGCCCTGTTCCAACATGGCGGCCTCCATGGGTCGCTGGCTTCTCTTCCTCCTTGAGCTGCTCGGCTTCCTCACGGAGGCGACCAGCGGCCTCGACTGGGGGTGAGTAAAGGTCTGGAGGCGTGAGCCTGGCTCGGGGATACTCCGCCCGGGACACAGCCCTCCGAGCTCACGGCCGCCCTGTCCCCTCAGGGCCTCCCGAGACGACGACTTGCTGCTGCCCTACTCCCGCGCGCGCGCGCGCTCCGCCCGGGACTGCTCAAGGGTGCGCGCCGGAAGTCGCGACCACGAGAGCTGGCCACCTACCACGGCGACCACCGGCACCCGCGGCCCGGCGGTGCGCACCTTCGTTTCGCACTTCGCAGACCGCGCGGTGCCCGGCCACCTGACGCGGGTGGCAGAGCCCCTGCGCACCTTCTCGGTGCTGGAGCCCGGTGGGTCCGGCGGCTGCGCTTCGAGGCGCCGCGCAACCGTGGAGGAGACGGCACGGGCAGCTGGCTGCAGAGTCGCCCAGAACGGCGGCTTTTTCCGCATGAGCACGGGCGAGTGCCTGGGGAACGTGGTGAGCGCCGGGCGCCGGGTGAGCAGCGCCGGGGGGCTGCAGAACGCGCAGTTCGGGATCCGCCGCGACGGGACCCTGGTCACCGGGTGAGAAGGCAGGGAGCCGCGTGACTGTCGAGGGCAGAGGACTTGAGATTTGGGTTGTAGCCGTGGTGCTGGGTTCAAGTCACCTGACAAAGCTGAGCGTCCGTTTGCGTTCTGCAGAATGGGGCTAGTAATACTTTTCTTGCCGCGTTTGTTCATCTCCCAGTATCACTGAGTGCTTGCTTTGTGTCAGGCAGTGTGCTGCGCGCTGGGGATATAGCAGTGAACAAGCAGACAGGCTTTGTCTTCAGGGAACTCTCCCGTTACTAGGAAAAATAAATAAAAGTTGGGGAAATGATAAGATAAATTCAGATTGCATGCGTGTAAAGAAGCAAGGAACAGGGTGAACCAATATAAACGGAGTGTGGATTTTAGGGACGGTGGATTTTAGGGAAGGTGACCTCTGGGTTGAGACCTGAAGATTAATCGCAAGTTAGCCAAGGTCAGAACTGGAGGAAGAGAACTACAGTCAGAAGGAACAGCAAGTGTAAGGCTCAAAGATGCACAGGGGTTTGGTGTGTGTGTGGTGACTGAAGGAAGGAACAGAGTATCAGAGAATGACAGGACTGACTTTGGTTATTTAAAAACATGCTCTAGGGGGTGCGCCTGGGTGGCTCAGTGGGTTAAACCTCTGCCTTCAGCCCAGGTCAGGATCTCAGTGTCCTGGGATCGAGCCCCGCATCTACGTCTCTGCTCAGCAGGGAGCCTGCTTTCTCCTCTCTCTCTCTCTGCCCGCCTCTCTGCCTACTTGTGATCTCTGTCTGTCAAATAAATAAATAAAATCTTAAAAAAAAAAAAAAACCTTTAAAAAAATGCTCTAGGGACATCTGGGTGGCTCAGTTGGTGAAGAGTCTGTCTGCCTTTGGCTCGGGTGGTGATCTCAGGGTCCTGGGATCGAGCCCTCCATCGGGCTCGATCAGGCTTCCTGCTCAGCAGGGGAGTCAGCTTCTCTCCCTCCCTCTATCCCTGCTCATGCTCTCCCTTGATCTCACTCTGTCTCTCTCAAATAAAGAAATAAAATCTTTTAAAAAAAATAAAAATAAAACATGCTCTAAACCTGGCTGGAGGCTGGGGTGGAGGGACCAGAGTAGAAGCAAGGAGACCAATTACAAGTTGTCAGTAGGCATCAGGTGGTCGTTTGACTAGAGTGATGGCCTAGGAGGTTGAAGGCCGGAGATGAACTTGAAATCTGTTGAGAATCATTGTTTATATTAGATGAAGTATTAACTGGGATGTGTAGACTGTTTACAAAGGCTGCACTCAGGACAGGATGGTTCCTGGGACACCAGGAGCAATCAAGCAGCCAACCTGAGGAGGGGAGGTAGGAGGGAGCCCTGCTACCTGCTTGTCCCTGCTGGTGAGAGAATCACGTGCCTTTTCTGTATCCAGGTACCTGTCTGAAGAGGAGGTGCTGGAAACCGAGAATCCATTTGTGCAGCTGCTGAGTGGGGTCGTGTGGCTGATCCGCAACGGAAGTGTGTACATCAACGAAAGCCAGGCGACCGAGTGTGATGAGACGCAGGAGACAGGTTTGGCGGCGGGGTGTGGCCCAGTCCTGTTGAGAACCAGGACCTCTGGGCTGGTGGGGGAAGCTATTCTTAAGTCTTTGAGCAAGTACGTTTCAAGGTACAGGGGATCTAGGGGGATTATGACAAATAAGGTCCCTGCTCTTGAGACCTTACAGAAGAAAGGAAATAGATATGTAATTTGCTGAAAGGAAGTGGTAAGTGCTAAGAAGGAAAAATAAAGTGGGGGCAGAGGGGACAGGTAGAGGACAGGAGCTGTGAATCAGAATCCCAAATCCCTGGGGGTGAGGCCCAGGCCTGTGTGTTTTAACAAACCCCTTGGGTAATAGTTTGAGAACCTCTGGGATGTAGAATACTAGGGTGGGAAGGGATGCTATGGCCCTGTTGTGGAAATGGCTGTTTCAGACCGAGCAGTCAAGGGAGGCCTCACTGAGGAGGTGCCCTAGATGGAAAAAGCAAATCACAGGAAGAACTGAGGAGAAGCACAGTCCAGCCAGAGAAAACAGAAGGTGCAGAAGCCCTAAAGCAGAAAGTGGCTGCAGGATGGTGAGGCGGGAGCCCCCAGAGACGAGGAAGGAGAAGCAGGCCAGAGTGGCCATGTTGGGCCTTGGGTTTTGTGCTGAGAACAGTGGAAGTCATTAGAGGGTTTTCCCCTGGAGGCTGATGTCACTTAATTTACACCTGAGAAGGGCCATCCAGCGGCTTTGTGGAGAGTAAGTGGGACGGGGCAGAGGGGAGGCAGGACGATACATGTCTAAGTGAAAAACTGGATGGCACGGACCGGGAGGTGGAGAACGGCATTGGACTGGCCAAAAATAACAGGCAGAGCCCAGGAGGCTTCCCAGAGAGCCAGGTGATCAGCCAGACTTCTTCTTCTCTTTCAGGTTCCTTTAGCAAATTCGTGAACGTGATGTCAGCCAGGACAGCTGTGGGACATGACCGGAAAGGACAGCTGGTGCTCTTCCACGCAGATGGGCAGACGGAGCAGCGGGGGTGAGTGCCAGGAACTGGGACCGCCAGGCCTGGGCCGAGTCCTGCTTTGAGGGACCTCAGCCCACTGACAGCTGGCCGTCAGAATCCCAACAGGGGATGTTCACATCCACCTGTCCCCTGCCTTCCCACACAAAACCGTTCCTAGATCTGTCTCACTTCTGGGAACTCATCGCCCTCTACACACTTCCTCTCAGTTCTTCCCAACTTAGGCCTCTGCCCTGCTGAGCCCTGGATAGGGTGATGGGAAGTAAATACAAAGTTAGTAGGGAGAAGACCTCTGTTCGAATCCCAGCTCTGCCACCTGCTAGCTCTGTGGCTACCGACAAGTCTCTCAACCTCTCTGAGCCACAGTTTCTTCCTCTGTGAGAGAGTGTGTTGGTTTGCTCTTGCTCTATAACAGACAAGCACAAACCACAGCCATCTGGTAGATCACAGTTCTGTAGGTCAGAATTCTAGAGGGCTCACTGGGTTCCATGTTGGAGGTATCCCATGGAGGTACCCCCAAAATCAAGCCATTTGCCAGGAAGGCTCTCATCTGGAGCATCAGAGCAAGAATCCTCTTAGGTCATTCGAGTTGTCGGCCGGATACGCTTCCTTGTCGTTGTAGGACTGCAGTCTGTGTTTTCTTGTTGGCCATGGGACCCTCTGCTCCTTCAGCCTGCCCACATTCCTTCCTGTGCATGTTACACACCCCATCTTCAAGCCAGCAAACATGCGTCCAGTCCCTTCCTCCCCTTTGTATTTGTAGTCTCTCCCGCTTCACATTCTGCCAGCAGCCAGGGAAAGGTCTGCTTTTAAGAGCTTTTGTGATTCCGCTGGGCCCCCCGAGATAATCCAGGACAGTGTCCCCACTTGTGGACAGCTGAGCCGTGTAAAATAACACAGTCATGGGGGTGACCTCTCGTTATAGTCACAGCTTGTAGGGGTTAAGATGGGACATTTGGGAGGAAATCCCATTTAGGAATTTGCCTGCCACAGTGGGGGTGATACTGTCCACCATGGAAAGGAAAGCCAGTTAAACAGGAAAGGCAGGGGACACAGTCAGCGTTAATGATCTTGTGCTTCAGCATTAACCTGTGGGAGATGGCAGAGTTCTTGCTGAAACAGGACGTGGTCAACGCCATCAACCTGGATGGAGGGGGCTCCGCCACCTTTGTGCTCAACGGGACCTTGGCCAGTTACCCATCAGATCACTGGTAAGCATGCCAGAGCCCCCTTCTTGAGGTCCATGTCCAGGCCTGTGCTCAGCTGTGTCATTCAACAAAGACTGAGCACCTACTGCGTGCCAGGCACTGGGGATTCAGCTGTGAGCAGAAAGAGCCGAGATCCCTGCCTCTCACTGCTTCCAGGAAGAGAGTCAAATTATACATATTGTGCCAGTGTCCCCGATGCCAACGAAAGGGGTTTTGTAGGTCAGGAAAGACCTCTTTGAGCGTAATGGAACCTCAGCTGGGCTCTGAGGGTTGAAGAGGCGGCGAGGCAGGGCTGGGAGAACCTTCCTGGCAGCAAGAACAACATGTGTAAAGGCCCTGGGGTTGGAAGAGATTGTCCGGGTGGGAAGAACCTATAAAAGGCTGAAGAGCGGGCAGTGGAGAGAGAGACAGCCCTCAGGAACTATGGTAGGGGGTAGGCGGGGTCCACTGGGGGATGGTCAGTGTCCTGGCCTCTTCACACGCTGTGCCCCCCCCCCACAGCCAGGACAACATGTGGCGCTGTCCACGCCGCGTGTCTACCGTGGTGTGTGTGCACGAGCCCCGCTGCCAGCCACCTGACTGCAGTGGCCACGGGACCTGTGTGGAGGGTCGCTGCCAGTGCACGGGATGCTTCTGGCAGGGCGCGGCCTGCGACAAGCTGGACTGTGGCCCCTCCAACTGCAGCCTGCACGGGCTTTGCACAGAGAGTAAGATCTCCGGGGTGGCGCTGTGACTGGGGCTCCCAGCCCTCCCTGCCCTGGCCTTGCCTGGGCCCTCACCTGGCCTCCTTGGTCTTGTCTTGGCAGCTGGCTGCCGCTGTGAAGCTGGATGGATGGGCTCCAACTGCAGTGAAGGTAAAAGCCGCCAGGCCAGGTGCTCCGCACCCCTGGCCCCTTGGGGAGAGGGTGAGCAGCGTGGCAGCTGCCTTTATCCTCCTCCTGCTTCTTGCTCTCGCCTGACTGTAAATCACTGCGTGAGTTTCCCACGGTGGCCACAACAAATTCCACAAACTGCGTGGCTTGAAATAGCACTTATGCTGTCTCAGTTCCAGAGGGCAGAACTGCAAAATCAAGGTGTCTTGCGGGGCCCTCGCTCCCTTTCAGAGGTCTAGGGGAGGCTCCTTCCCACCCCCTCCAACTCCTGGTGGCTCCGGCCATTCCTTGCCTTGTGGCCACATCCCTCCAGTCTCTGCCCATGTCTGTCTCTCCATTCCCTTACACAGACCCCAGGTCATTGGATTTAGGGCCCACTCTAAGTCCAGGCGCCCTCATCTTTTATGGTCTTCACTTAATTGTATCTGCAAAGTCTCTGTGTCCAGATGAGGTCATGTTCACAGATTCTGAGGATTAGGACACAATATCTTTTTTTTTTTAAGATTTTATTTATTTATTTGACAGAGATCACAAGTAGGCAGAGAGAGAGAAGGGGAAGCAGGCTCCCCGCAGAACAGAGAGCCCGATTTGGGGCTCATTCCCAGGACCCTGAGATCATGACCCAAGCCAAAAGCAGAGGCTTTACCCACTGAGCCACCCAGGTGCCCCAGGACACAGTATCTTTTGGGGGGACACAGTTCAACCCACCACAGCCATCCACAGTTTCAAATCCTTCAGGGCTTTCTTTTGAGGACGTCAAAGGAATGAAGCCCTTAGCCTGACCTGCCAGGTGCCGCAGCCCCTCCCCAACTCACTGACCCAGCTCCACTCCTCCAGACCCCAGCTTAGTTGCCCTGTCCCCCGATGCCTGCCCACCCCACCCCCTCCAGCGGTCTGCTGCTGCTGCACTTGTCCCCACCTGCACATCCATGTCTGCTTCCTGGCTCCCTGGCCACCAGTCCATCTAGACAGGAAGCTCCAGGAAGGCTCACTGTCAGGGCCTGCCTTGAAGTGTGTTCTCCTTAACTTTCTGTTGGAAGCATTTGTGAACCTACAGGGCCACTTAGGGTGACTGAGATCTGTTTGCAGTCTTCTTGGCCCTCACCCAGGTGGGGCGGGGCTGGATTTTGAAATGACTCCCCTTTCCCCGGGCCAGCTTGCAGCAATGGCTCCTTCGGGGCAGACTGTGCCATGAAGTGCAGATGTCAGAACGGAGCTGCCTGTGACCCCGTCCAGGGGACCTGCACCTGTCCTCCTGGCTTCACTGGAGACACCTGTGAGCAGGGTAAGCTACACAGTCCCCAAGTCAGCTGGGAGGAAGTGCCACCCAGGGGCATCTCCAGGGTCTAGCCTGGGGGAACCCCGGGGTCACTTGCTTCAGCCCAGCTCTGCACCCACCTGGGGCCCATCCTGTCTGTGCAGAGAGAGGTCCTGCCACTGAGGCCTCCACTTCTGCCTCCTCTCCACAGAGTGTCCCCTCGGCTGGCACGGGCCAGGCTGCCAGATGCCTTGCAAGTGTGAGCACCAGTGTCCCTGTGACCCCCAGACTGGCAACTGCAGCCTGGCCCAGGCACCAGCCCTTAACAGCATCTTCTCCCAAGGTATGGCTCCTCCCAGGCTCCTGGGGGGCAAATGGGGCACACCCCTCCCCTTCCAGCATGTCAGCCTCTCTCTGCTGTCTTACAGTGAAACAATGTCTCCGGCCATCTGAGACCACCCCAAGAACAGGAGAACTCTCCCTTCTCACCGGGTAGGAGATTTGGTGGGACTTGGGGTTGGGATGGGAGGAAATCCCCCTCTCCCTCCACCTGTGAGGTTGACCCCTGCTCAGGGACTGGGCAAGGCTGGGAGGTGACATCAGCCACCCAGGTGATGTTTCTTCAGTGTAAGCACAGAGAGAGTCACAGCTGATGCTCACAGCCACCCAAGTGGGCCTGGGAGATGGTGAGAAGGACCCTGGTCACCACCCCAGTGGGAGTCGACGGGGAAGGGCATCAGGGCTCCTTTTCCTGCAAGACTCGCGACTTATTTTCTCGGGTCCTGATGTCTGGTACAGAAGTGCCAACCTCCGAGGAACTCACACCATTTCTCGAGCACCGCTCTGTGGTGCGCTTTCTGTTTGCTAGTGCAAACCTTGGGGAGGGCGTGCTGAAATAGATTGCTAGGTCCCGTCTCTGGAGTTTCTGCTTTAGTAGGTCTGGGGTGGAGGCTGAGAATCTGCATTTCCAGGGTGATCCCAGGGGATGGTAATGCTGCTGGCATGGAGACCCCACTCTGAGAACTTCTTTTCTTGTAGCTCTCAGCTCATGGCCCAGCCCCACCCACACTGGAGGTGGGAATCAGGTGTGGGTATGAATGAAAAGCTCCTGGTGATGTCCTGGAGGACAGTCTTATCATTAATAATGCAGATCCCAGGTCCCTCCTGGATGTCCTGACTCAGTGAGCCTGGGGTGAGGCTCTGAAGGCCCAGAATCACACCTGAAGAAAACCCCTGGAAACATCCTTTGAAAATGCTCCCAGAGCAGGGACAGTGGCTCCCAGGAGCACCTGGCCCCTGGTCTTAAGTTCAGGCTCCTCAGGTGTGAGACTTTGAGCCCCTCCTCCCCAGTGCAGACCTGCAGACCAGCTGACAACTGCCGGCAAGGGAAGGGGAGCCCTGGGGGGCTGACAAGCATGTCCCCGCCCCCAGCAGTGTGCTCTTGTCTGCTTTTGCATCGAGGGCTTCAGCCACAGAGTTCACATGAAGGAGGAAAACAAGGATCGTTGAAAGACCCCGCCAGCTCCCCAGGAGGGAGGAAGGGGTGCAGTTCTCCCTGCTCTGTCTCCTTTGAGGTTTCTAACATCCCCCAGAGCACGGATACAAACTGATGCTTCCTGGGGCATCATCGTGAGATGATGTATTGTATTTGCCCTGCATAGTTTAAAAAAACGTAAGGCTTATTAGCAGCTTCTGAAAATCAGCAACATTCACATAAAAATTTTTTTTTTCTTTTCATGGTTTCTCTTAAATATCAAGAGATGTGGCAGGGCTGGCCTGCATGGCACACAGGGACTGTCACTACTGCTCCCCGAACGTGTGTCTGGAGGGTGTCCCCTAGCCATGCCAGCCCCATTTCGCTCCCGAACAGTGGTGGTGTTCTCCCTGGAGGCTCCCGACTCTGCCTCTGTTGTGGTGGAGGGGAAACCCCTCCAGCACCGCCCAACAACCCATGTTGAGGCTCTCTCTTCTGCACCCAGGACCGCCTGGCTGGCCCTCACCCTGGCCCTAGTTTTCCTTCTGCTGGTCAGCACAGTGGTGAACGTGTCCTTGCTCCTTGGCTCGAGAGCAGAGCGGAGCCGGCACCTGGATGGGGCCTACGTTTACCACCCACTGCAGGAGATGAACGGGGAGCTCCTGGCCGCGGAGAAGGAACAGCAGGGGGATGCCCACAACCCCTTCAAGGACTGACGCCTCCAGCCACCCGCCGTGGCCTGCTCTGAAAGCTCATTTCGACACGGCCTCGTTTCTGCAAGGGAAACCTCAAGGCCGCTGATCGTCTGGGTGCTCTCAGCCCCGGTGCCAAGCCAAGCTTCTGATAGCACCTGTGCTCAGCCCCTCACCTGGCCCCAGGCCCTCCCCTGGTCGCCTGCCATGACACACACAACCCTAGCAATACCGTGCTCCCCAGAGAGAGACTGCTTCCTTCCCTGCCTGCCTGTGTCTGCTGCCTGGGTGGCCGTCCCCCAAGGGCCTGCCGTGGTGCCAAAGAGCCTCTGGCCTCCTGAGGCAGAGGCCGCTAGCGACGGGACGCCCCGTGACCGCACCATGACTGAGTGGCAGGGTCCAGCCAGCCCCCCTGGACAGGGATGGATCACAGAGATGATGGCCACCTCACAGGACCTTTCTCTACAGACCTCATTGCAGAATTTGCCAATTAGAATTCTACTTCCTGTCACAGGGAGCTCCTTCGAAGGGGCGGGGGATGGAATCATGTTTACAAGCTTTCTATTTTGGTATCCTGCCCTGGAGAGAGGGTTTTTTTTTTTTTTAATCACTTGAATAAATTGATGTAATAAAAGGAGCCCCCCAGGTGGCAACTAAAGCCTGAATTGTGGATTTCTGGAAGTACCTAGGTCTTAAGGGTGGGGTTCTGTCACCTGAATCCAGGGTCATAAACGGGCAGCCCAGAGCACCTCCAGCTCCCTGATCTGTTCATTTGATCCAGGGTTTCTGATTTTGTGGTGCACACAAGTCACCTGGAGATCTTGTTAAAATGCAGATTCTGGCCCAGGATGGGGTACAAGAGTCTGAGTCTCTCACAAGCTGCCAGGTGATGCCAAGACTTGGGGGGACGGGCGGGTCTGGACCATGTTTTGAAAGAAGGAAAAAGTGTAGTCTGCACCATGACTTAACGGGATTTAAATTAGTTACCAGCGTTTAAACGTCAAGAGATAAACAATTTAAGATTTCTGATTTCTTTTTAAAAGAGGGCGAGCCCACAGCCCCTACCAACATCCTTCCAGGGCAATGACTTGTCAGAGATGAGAATCCCCGGTCCCTCTGTGGGCCTTCCTTCTCCAGGTCATCGAAGCCTCCAGCAGTCTGTGGCCTGCCAGCCCCGTGAGTATCTGAGTTTGGAACCCGTGGCTGTGGAGGGTCTTCAGGAAGTACCTGGCAGTTCCCCCTGACCACCCCGACGAATGGGTATTACCCTGTGCTCAGCAGATCTTTGGGGATGAGAGATGAGGGAGGTCCTGTAGCTCCCAGCAGATATTAAAGAGACTCACGTACATTATGAACTGAGTGTATCCTCCCACAATGATTCCTGTGTTGAAGCCCGAACCCTCTTCTCCTTCCCCACCAACCCATGTGGTAGTATTAGGAGGTGGGGCCTTTGGTTTAATTAGTTTTTGATGAGGTCACAACAGTGGTCCCCTCAGGATGGGATTAGCGCTCTTACAAGAAGAGACGGGAGGGCACCATCTCCACACAAGCACAGAGAAGAGGCCATGTGTGAGCTGTCAGCTGTGCAGAAGCCAAGACGGGGGCCCTCACCAAGAACTGAATTTGCCGGCACCTTGATCTTGGATTCCAGCCTCCTGAACTATGGGAAATAGATGTCTGTTATTTGTAAGCTGCCCAGTGTATGGTATTAGTCAAAGCTTGAGCAGGCTAAGACACAGTATAACTGGTAGCTATCTAGTCCTGTGTAACCAGTCCAAAACTTGGTGGTTTAAAACAACAAGCAGTTACTACTTCTTTTAAAAAACAATTATTTTTCATGATTCTAGGGTCAACTATGCGATTCTGTTGATGGGGGCTGGTGATCTCAGCTGGGCTCACTGGTGTGTCTTCCATAGTTGATGGGCCCACTGGGGGCTGGTCTGGGATGGCCACAGCTGATGATGTAGCTCCACCCAGTGCCTCGTCCCCCAGGAGGCTGGCTCAGGCCTGGGGTCCGGGTGGGGGTGGGGATCCTGGAAGAGAAGCACACAAGGCTTTTCAAAGCTTCGGCTCAGAACTGGCATGACCTCATTTCCACCGTGTTCTGTGAGCTGGTCCAAAGACACCCAGATTCCATCCCCGAGACAGACTCCACCCTCTAGTGAGAGGAGCTGCAAAGAGACCTGGGTCCAGGAGGCTAATTGAGCCCATCCTGCAGTCCATCCACTGTTCTGCTGGTCTAGTTTCACTTCAGAAAGGAAGAATTTGGTTCCGAGAAGTAAAATATCACAGGCCAATTTCCCAGACTCCAAGTTCCTGCAGGAATGTGTTTGTGGGTCTGCGTGTCTTTTTGTCTGTCCCCCTGAAGTTGAGACCCGCTGAGCCAGCCTGTGATACTTCCTCCAAGATGCTGTGTTTTGGTCCTGCAGTGGGAGCCAGAGGCCAGGTTGTCGATAACCCTGGGCATAGTTGATCCTACACCTAGTGAACCATCACCCAAAGCCCACACACTACCCACGGCCAGGCAGCTGTCATTTCTACCTCCTAATTCAGCCCCTTTTCTGGGCTTGTGACCCAGGTTGGAGGGAAGGGAGGAGTGGAGTTCACAGCACGTCCAGGAACTGAGGGCGGCTGCTCATTTAAGGAACTAGGCAAACTCTTCACATTGTAAGTCCTCCTTCCAGAAATGGAAACAACCAAGTTCACATGTTCCTCTGGGGACCTTGTGTTTCAACACCACCTGGAAGTCTTTTTCTGTGTTTCGCTCTTTTCCAGGGCACAACTGGTCCCTGGGCTGCTTGGACATTTTGCTCCCACTGTTCAGGGGTAGGAAGTACTGACAAGAGCTTGGAGAAGTTCCCAAGCACCTTTGAATCACGTCGGCATGTTCCTGAGACACAGTTCCCGAGCCCAGCGGCAGGTCAGAGTGTTTTTCCCGGGAATGTTGTATGATTGTAGATGTCCACATCCTGTCCCAGACCCATCGAGTCAAAATCTCAGGGGTATGGGGTCTGGGAATCTACAGGGAACACCTTCAGAGGTTCTGAGGCAACGGGCTGTAGAAACCTGTGACCTGGAAGCTCTGACCTCCACAGAGGACGTCTCTCTCTGTCCTTGGCTGGGCTGGCAGCTGAGCTGGGAGAGTACAGTGCTGTGCATAGGCTTGTTGGATTTCAGGCCAGAGGGAGCTGAAGAGGGTCCATCACGGTGTGCTGGAGGGGTTCCTGGTTCAGCAAAGAGGCTACGTTCACCCTCCCTGTTTGTATAGGGGTCTGTCATGCCTGTCCAACACCCGGTGCCCTGTATTCGCCTGGATCCCTCCCAGCCCGTGAACCTGAGATAAAGAGGTGAGGGCAAGTAGTTTATTTGGGAGGTGACCCCAAGAAGCCCTGGTGGGGAACAGAGAAGTGAGGTAGGGAAGGAAAGGCAGCCAGTACACAGTGCATTAGTGAGCAGCTCCCCACTGTGGGCAGCCAGGAGAATACAGATAACATCTTGGGGCTGTGCCTCTGGTGGGGTGTTTGTTGGCCAACACGCTCTCATTGTGTGGGATGGGGGTTTCTCCTGGGGGTTAACTCCTTGGCATGTCCAGCCTGCCCTATACAGGGGCTGAGTGTGCTTCACCAACCAGAAGTAGCCATCAGAACTTGCAGTTGCTTGCATCTAGACACCTCCCGGTGGTAATCAGAATGCCCAGTGAAGGCAGGACTCTGAGAGCCAAGGCTGTGAGCCTCCCTACCATTGCCTTTAGGGTGCTCCCTCTCCCCCATTCTGGTACCATCCCATCAAGTCCAAGATGGCATGAATATAGGGGTCGGAGGTAGTCCCCTGTCCCAGTTGGCTCACTAGAGCCTACCCTGGAACTTCTGCTAGAATTTGGGGGAAAACACTTTGCTGAGATTGTCCATTTGCCAGGGTGTGGGCCACATGTAGAAAGAGAGTGAAGTAAACGTGGAGAAGAACCAAATCAAGAGAAAAGGGGGATATAATTTAAGTGCCTAGATTCAGCTATACCTGAAGCCACTATCATTCTTGGACCAATTACATGGACCAGTAAACCCCGTTTTTGCTTGAGGCACTTCGTGTTGGATTTGGGGGGTCTCTGGCAACCCACAGAGTCTAACACTCATACTGTTCAAGGAGAGACACATTTTGGACTCAGGCATTTTTCGGAGCTTAGATGAGGCCTGGAGCAGAGGCAAAAAGGTGTTTTTTTAAATTCAAACACTTAAACTCTAGGGGTGGGTAGGAACACGTGCTGACACAAATGTACAAGAGCTCGTCATTAAGCTTTGGGATTGGTAGTTGGGGATTAACATGGACCAGTTACGGTGGCGCAAGCATTCCCCCCCACCTCATGGTAATGATGGAAGACCCCTGGGCACAGGATGTGGACCAGATGTCTTGGTGGCCTGACCACCAAGAGTCCTGTGCCATGGTAACACATGGCAGCTAGGATGCTCTTCATAAAACTTGAGCATCAGGAAAGAATCCAGAAAGAGGTTCAATCCTGGGCTTAATGGGTGGCTTTCCAAGACTCTTAGGAGCCCTGATATGGGAATAATTCAAGTGTGATGCCCAAAGCTTCTACTGGATTTGCAAAGGGGTGTGTATCTCAGAAAACTTGGGCTCCAGGAAACTCTTAAGTCAGTGGTTTCAAGTTGTGCTTTTTGGGGACCCACATTCCTTGGAAATGCCTCCGCGGGGGCAGGGAGGCACTGAAGTGAGGAGAGGGAAAAATGGACTGAAGAGAAGTCTGAAAGCCACAGCTGCCTTTCCTGTCCCTGAGAGCTACCTGGCACTTTTCCTTCTGGCTCTTTCCAGGCCCTGCCCAAACTCCCAACAGCTGCTAGTGCCCTGAGACCCTGCCTCCACAGAAGCCCCAGCAGGCTGCTTTGGACCTGGCCCCTGGCCTCTGAGGAAGAATTGGTCCCAGAGGCAGACTCTGGGCCCCAAGGGAGCCCTAGTGTGTCCTCCCCTCTCTGGGCCCCGCAAACCTCAGGAGGCTTCTGAGGAGGCAGTTCTGCCCAGGACAGACATCAGCAGTGACTCATGGCTCAGAGCTGATTCCAGCTGGCCTGCCCCAGGGACCTGTCTTTCTCAACACCCACCACATGCAGGAGTCAGCTGGCTGGTCCTTGGAGAGCTCTTACCCACAGTTGCAGAGAAATCCATGGCAAAGTCCCAGAGAATGAATGCATGCACTGTACTGAAGCAGGCAAGGGCTGCTTCCTCTCCCTCAGTTGGATGTGTTGGGTGCGGCTGGGTAACCAAACCCGGTATAGACAGGGTACCCCAGAGCAGTCCTACAAGAGAACCACACCTTCTCTGCTTCCCCAAGTGACAGTCCTTGGCCTCCTGCTCCAAAACAAGAGGGCCTTTTCAGAACCCCATGATGTGTGTGGCAGCCAGAACCCCTGCTCCGTGTCCCAAGGAAACTCACAGGAAGGACAGCTGGTGCCCTGGACAAGGTCCCCACCCAACCCCCAACCTCAGGATGATGGCTGTTGTTGAACATCACACTAGGTCTTAGGTCAAACCCCAGGGAACCAGGCAGAGTGGCCCAGAAAGATGGATGGCAGGGCCCTCACCTTCACCTGGATACCTGGCAAAGAGAATCCAGAAATGCACCCTCAAGAATCCAAGTCAGCAGTGCTGAGTGGGCCCAGGGAATAAGCATTTAATTCCACTGATAAACTATGCATGTATCTCTGTATGCACCCTGTGCTTGTGCAATGGTTTGAATAGCGTTTTTCCCCTGCCCCCCAGAATCAGCGTCCACACAGAACCTTAGAATGTGACTTTCTTTGAAAGTAGTTTTTGCAGATGTAATTAGTTAAGGATCTAAAGCTGAAATTGTACTAGATTGACAGTGAACCCTGAATCCAGTGCCTGGTGTCCTTACAAGACAGGAGACACACAGAGAAGAAGCTGTGTGAAGACAAGCAGGACGAGAGCAATGCAGCCACAGGCCAACGCGTTCCGGGTGACTCCAGAAGCTCCGAGACGTAGGAAGCGTCCTCCCCTAGTGTTAGGAGGGGCACCTGCAAACGCCTTCATCTCAGACTTCCGGCCCCCAGAACGGTGAGGGAATCCGTTCCTGTTGTTTTAGGTTAACCAAGTGTGTGGGAATTCGTTACAGCAGCCCTAGGGAACTACTACTGTATGTCTGTGCTTTATATATAAAAATGTTATATTTTGTATGCGTCCCCTTTCCCCCAAGAACCAACTCGCAACCCCTTGAGGGTGATACCACCCCTGCTGAAAATGCTTTTGCGTCTTAGAAACAGCAGCAGAGTAACTCCTGAAGAAGCCCAGGGAAACCCGCAGGGTTTTAGGAGGTAGACAACTGAGGTATATCCAAATCGAAAACGCTTAATGCTTTTGGTTGGAGCAAATGATCAGGCAAACAAGGAACATCATGTTTTATTGGCTGAAATAGAGTGTTTGGAACAGAATTATTGTATTCTCATCAAACAATTCATTTTATAGGAGGAGCAATTCCAGAGTGCAGGGTGGGGCGGGGGGGGGAGTTCTCAGAAGCCCCGTATTTCAGCCTGTAGAGAACATTCTCTAGCCAGTCAGGGAAGATACCACTCCGAATGATGCTCTTCCAGATTTAGTAGATTTGCTCAGAAAACGCAAGCAGTTGCTAAACGGGAGAGGAAGAGGGAAATTATATCCCGACACCCACTTTCCTCCTGATGCTCGTGGTGCCGAGCCTTCTGTCCCAGGAGAAACAGTGACAGGCGGGCCTCCTCCGGAAGGAGTCTGGAGTGTTTGGTTGAGATGCCTTAAGTCATCAGGCTAAACTTTGACGTTTATCGTGTGCTTTCTGTGTGCTGGGCGCTGGGCTTGCGGACTCTACAGCTCCTCTCACTTGTCCCATGACAACCCAGTGAATGAGGTAGGCACATCCCCATTTTACAGATGAGGAAACTGAGGCACAGGGGGGTTAAGTCACCTGCTGGAGGTTACACAGCTAGTGAAAAGAAGGCTGGGGTTTGAACCCCACCCCGTCTAAATTTTAAGACCCAAGCTCCTAAACACAGTGCGTGGGCAGGATCCTTTTGCTAGTGTGTTGTTTCTGTCCTGGTCACAACAGGTTAATGAACAAGAGGGAGAAAGAAACCAAGCCAAGGAACTTCCAACCCTGAGGTTTAGGGAAATACAGAAGCCAGGAACTTGGCAGCCCTTGGATTTTTAATTTCACACCTCCCAAAGGTAGGAAAGACCTACTGATTGATGAAGCTCCAGCTTGGGCCCCAGAGACCTCCAGCAAGGGAAGGGGACTGCAGCAGATGCATCATGGCTGTCTGCTGCTTCCGTGGCCCAGCTTCCCTTGTCCTGGGGTGATCTGCTCTCTCCTAACCCATTGCTGCTTCTGGAGGAAATGGCAATCACAAGACCTGCAGCCCCTTGGCCAGTACATCTGTAGGAGTGAGCACTTTACTCAAACAGGGCCAGGCAGAGGCTTCTTTGGGATTTGAAATAGAGAATTCTCTCAGCCTTAGAGATTGTGAACCCTGTGGTTGTAGACTTGGGGCTGCTGGCAGACACCTTTCCCACTAGGCAGAGGAGAGGATGAGACCAGCCTGAAAAGAGATACAGAGCTAGGAGTCCTGGGTAAGGTTGAGAGAATGAGCATATGAGCCTGAGGACACTACGCTCCTGGATCCAGCCATACCTGAAACAAGGACGCCCTTAGCCATCCCAGTTACAGGACCCAGGGAATTCCCTTTGTTTGCTTAAGCCAGTTTGAGCTGGAGCCTTCTCATGGGAGAAAGAATGAGCTCTCGGGAGAACTGAGAGGGCCTGAGGCTCATCCCTTTTTTCCAGGCTGGAGAGGTCACAGCAGATCCAGGTTCCAGTTCTCAAGCCAAGTATAACCCCAAGTCAAGGAAAGGCTTCTCCATCCTTCCCTGGTGCTAGTCCTAGACAATTAATGTATGGGGAGTGCTAGGGCAGCTTAGCCCAGAATGCTTCTAGGGCACACCTGGGTTTTAGAGGCAGGCAAGAAACTCATCTAAAGACTGGTGCAAATATCTCAGATTCCTCAGTGATTAATGCCTGGTGACATGGGAGCAACTAGCTTTGAGAACATCCCCCATCTCCCCCTACCACTCTCCCTCATGTGCACATACACCTTGATGCAGGATGCAGTTTTGGATTTTGTTCCTATACCTGAGGAGCAAACAGAGATGGATGAGACTCCCTCCCTGGAGGGAGAAGGATGTCTCTGAGAAGGTAGCTCCTTCTCTCTGTTCCAGGTTTGGGGGTGAGGCAGGTAGGCAAGGAAGTCCTTGCTCTCCTTGTTCCATCATGCTGAGACCGCATGGAAGCATCAAGCCCACAGTTGCAAGCCTACCCCTTGGGCAAGGCCCAGTGACTCTGGGTGTTGACCAGAGATAACCCCCAACTGTAAGGAAGGCTACAAGGGAAGAGTACCATTGAGCCATCTGGGCCCAGATTGGCCCCCCAGCTGTTGATACAGCCATATTTGTGAGGTCCCTCCCAGGCAGATAATGTGAGTGACAGTCACAGTGAGGGGTAGGGTAGGGACTGGGGTAGCCCCATCAAGGAGCAAAGTTGTATTGCCTTTACATGGTAACAGTGGCCCCGTTTTGCCAACAGTCCCAAATGCCTAAGGGAAGCTGGACAGTTGGATTTCTGTATGAAATGCCCCCAATTTTTAAATCCCTCTATAGGCGAAACAAAAGTCAGATCAGTCTGCAGGCTGCCAGTTAGTAACCTCTGACTTGTTGCCTTTTTGGAAGCCCCAGAAAGGAAAGGAGACGTGTCCTCAAGCCCCAAGGATACCCAAAACTTTTTCATGCAAGAACTCAGGGAAAGTCTGTCAATATTGAAGCTGGTTGTAGGGGTCAGGTTTGCCCTGGGATGGACACAACGAAGTCACAACCTCCTCCTCCCCACAGGGGAGTCCTGGTGCCATGCTGAGATCCTAGATCTAGCCTTACCTGAAGCAAGGACTCCTGGACTGGCCAGCTGAATGTGATCATGACTGGTTACCCTTTTGAGTGGGTCTCTGTGACTTACAACCAAAAAAGTCATAATTAAATTGCTCCAAGGAAAGAAAAGGACCTCTAGAGGAGTTTAAAGACAGCCAGAGACACTTCATCCCTGTCTGGGCTTCCCCACCCTCCTCAAGTCAGTGGTGGTCAGGCTGCCTTCCTAGCCAAGTGCTGGGAAGATGGGTTTCAGGCCCAGGTGGGCTACTCCCCACAGAAAGTGACCCTGTAACTCATATATCTGCTCAGCACGCATGTCTTGGGACACAGGGCATTGCTTTGCAGTCCGTTGTGAAAGTCATTTCTGCCAACCCAGCATTCTTTCCCTCTTCCTGTGGGGCACCCCAGTATTCCTAGAGGCAACTTCCTTATGCTTTTCAAACCAGGTGGTTGGCGTCAGGAACAGGCATTGGTCCAGGTAGACCAATCGCTGAAACCCCATCTTGGTATGGTAACTGGCCCAGATCGGACACAGGACCCTGTCGGCCAATCAGTATTCTCTGGTACCCTGGCAACTGTGATTGGTTCAGGGACCAGTGTGGGACCCAGGCAGGCTGATTAGACTCCATTCTGGGAGCTTGGATGGAACTTTGGGAGACAGAGGTTCTCATCTGCAGCTGAGCTGGGGAGAGGGAGGGACCCTAGTGGTGGTGGGATCCCCTGCATGGGGAGGGCACCTGAGAAGGAAGCTGCCCCCAGGGAAAGCAGAGCCAGGGATGGAGAGGGGATGCTGAGCCCGATGATATCCCTGAGCTCCCGGACCAGGCAGACCCAAAGGTGGCCCACCCACTCCCTGGCTTTTCCTTACGTGAAGCCCAAAGAAGATCATTCCGTCCTTGCATCCTTGAGAATGCGTGAGCTGGATCATTGCCATTGGCTCCAGATGCCCCAACTTAGTCAGTGTCCAGACCCAGGGCTGCAGCCCACATGGTCCCAGACCCCATGGACACTTACAGACCTGGGAGGCAAGCAGGCTGCCCCACAGGGCTCAGTCCCAACTATCTGGAGACCAGGGGGCTGCTGTGGGACTGGCCAGATGAGGAGGAAGTGGTGGCGCTGAGCTGGGAGAAACCGCTGGTGCAGGATTCCAGGCTGGACATGGAGCCCCTGGGGAAGAAGGGCATCGCACACACATTACCTTCTGGTGGAGACACAGGCTTGGGGCCCCCACACAGCAGTGGAAAAGCTGGTGATGCTGCAAATGAGGCCCCAGGGCCCTTTCCACGAGGCTGGTAACCACCCCAGGCACAGAGGGCAAGTGTAGAGGGAAAAGCAAGTGAAGCTGTGATGAGAAACAAGGCTCCGCCCATTTTCCTGCCCCACCCCCAAAGATCCCCACCTGCCGCACACCATTCAGGAGCTTCCATGAGCTGGGGATCTAGCATGGCCCAGAAGGTGCCCCACGGCCTGGGCAGTCCCCAGCCCTAGCTCTAGCCTAGGCCAGGCCCCTCATCCCATGCTCTCACAAAATACTGTGCTGAGACCTCCGGCACCTCCCAGCTGTGTGACCTTGGACAAGGACCCAGGCTAGAACATCGGTATGGCATCTACTGCTGGTTCATAGTTACATGCAGGTGTGATTGTGTGGCCTCCTGCTCCATGACGGCAGCCCCTGTGTGTCTGGTCCCCCAGGGCCCAGCCCAACGCCTGCCTACTGAGGACGGCCAGGAGCTAGCCCTTGACCTGGTTCTCTGTAAGCTGCTGAAGGTCAGGGCTGCAAGCTTCACCCACACGGACCAGACCAGGCAGGCTGGCAAGCAGCATCTGGCCCGCCCTTTAGCTGCCACCTGCCTTCCTGGAGGCGGCAGGCCCTGGATGCTCGTGTCTACGAGGTCTGTCCCCTGCACTGGCTGGTGCCCAGTGCCCAAAACAAGCTGCTTCCCAAAGAGGAAATCACCAGCCCTGCCATGCTGTGGGGCTCTCTGTGGAGTAAAGACACTGGCCCAGTATCTCTCACACTGGGCTGCACGTGTCCTTAGGGCACTTGGACCTGCACCTGGCATATGGATACAGATGCACACCCTCCTGGAGCCTCGATTTGACCCCACGGTAAAGAATATAAAGCATTAATTTTAGAAGGAAACTAACAGAGGGACTCGGTGGCTCAGTCAGTGGAGCGTCTGACTCTGAATCTCAGCTCAGGTCTGGATCTCAAGGTCATGAGTTCGAGTCTCATGTTGGCCTCCACGCTGGGTGTGGAGCCTACTTTTTAAAAAAAAGAAAAAAAAAGTAGGAAACTAACAGAGCTATGTCATGAAGCAGGAAGCAAAATGACATTTGTTTTTAAAAGATAAACTGTAAAGCCGTGAAGAAACTGCCAGCTCCATCTCGTCACCCTCTGCTTCATTTCTGCCATCAAGTGCTTTCTGTATGCCTCAGGGAAGGGCAGGCTTCCACCAACCACTTCTTCCTGATGACAACTCCGGATGCGGGGGGTTTCAGCGGCCCCCGTTTAACTGGTGGGGAGGCTGAGGCTCAGACGGCTGAAGTGACTTGCTTGAGGTCACCAGGAAGCGCTGGAGGTCTTAGCCACCACTCTCTCAGAAAGCAACACTTGGGGAGAGATGTCTGCGAGACACTATTCTAGAATGTTCTAGAACAATCCAGACCCTGTGTTATGGGTTTCTAGGAGTGAGAGGAGGTCCAAAGAGGAGGGCTTTGGGCTCCCCTTCCCTCTGCCATCAATCTGGTATATTGGGGTTCTGTCCAGAGTTTCATTGGAAGGGGACGTTCTGCAGCTGGAGCAGGATTTAGACTTAGCGTTGGATCCAACTGCTCACACGGGTGCTGAACCACTGGCGAATTTTAACAATACCCATGCTGGGGCGCCGCCCCTGGATAAGCTCAAAGGCACGTGAGAGAAATGAATCCAATGTCACCCACCCCAGAAGGAAGGAGCCTCAGAAGCGATATGGGCCTGGCCTGGAGGAGAGTGGGGTCAGGGGGACGGGGGGGCCCTTCCTGCCCAGGATCCCCGCCCAGCCCCTCCTACCTGAAGTCCTCAGACGCCAGCACCTCGTAGTAGTAGAGGAGTTTGCACTTGGGGCCGGGGCTGTGCAGGGCCGTCAGGACGTCCTCCACCCCCGGGAGGCTGCAAGCCGCATTCCCAGGGGGGCTGTGCATTTGCCACTGGAGCAAATAGATACCAGGCCACCGGGTCACATGGGAGCCCTGAAACACAGCAGCCCTCCCTGAGGCTCTGGTCCACGTGGGGGTGAACGGGAGCCCCTTGCCAAACCAATCCAGGGCCTCCTGACGTATCCTTGACTCCTCCGCCGTTATCCCCCTATCTGGGGGGCTGAGAGCCTCCCTCTGATCGGGTGGGAGTGGAGGCCGGGGGTTGGAGCTGCAGTTGCAAGGAGAACAGGTGCAGGTGGTTAAACACCTGGATTTTGTTGGGCTTTTGTTCTGCTGCCCCAGGAGGGATCTGGGCAGGGAGCTGGCAGGTTGGTTAGGGTTAGTGGAGGGCCCGGATGGTGAGAATGGAGGTGTTAGTTGTTATAACTTCAGAGATTATAGAGGGGCTATATAGGGTGCTAGGGGTGCTGCTGTGTGAGGTGCAGGACAGACTGCTGCACAGGGCCTTGGGTGCGACCTGCCGTGCTCCCCAGAGCCTGTTTGTGCAGGGTGGGTGAGTGAGTGGGGCTGGTGGTCGAAGACTTGCAAACACTGGCCTCCAGCAGCATGTGAGTAACGGCGGGGCAGGGTGGTTGGTGTTCCAAGACACATCTGAGTTCCGTTGCCAGTGTTAGGGCATCTCTAACGCTCTAGGTTCTGAAACTAACACATCAGAAATCACTGGGAAAGGGTAGGGGATGCCGAGTCCAGGCCTCATGCCCAGAGGTTCTTTTTTTTTTTTTTTTAAAGATTTTATTTATTTATTTGAGAGAGAAAGAGAGAGCATGAGAGGAGAGAGGTCAGAGGGAGAAGCAGACTCCCCACTGAGCAGGGAGCCCGATGTGGGACTCGATCCCAGGACTCCAGGATCATGACCTAAGCCGAAGGCAGTCGCCCAACCAACTGAGCCACCCAGGTGCCCCAGTGCCCAGAGGTTCTGAGTTAGGCCCCTGACATGGGGCCTGGCAGTCTGAGGCTTTGACAAGAGTCCCGGGGGATTCTGACAATGGGGTCCTGGGGTCCCCGAAGTCCTCAATCTGCCCAGTTCTTTCTCCCTCACTGTCCTATGGAGTCGCTGAGGTCAAGGGCCAGAACCCCAGCACACAGTGAACACTCAATCTTGTACGATGAATGAATAAATGAACAAAGGAGTTCAAACCTGGATGCTCTCCCCTTCCCGGCAGACAAGAGGGGCTTCGACACGGCTGTAATCCACACCTAGGACCCAGCCTTTGTCCATCAGCTGCCCGCCGGCCCTGGCCCCCGGCTCCTGGCGGCCAGGCTGGGGCATCTGCTTGCTGTGGTACAGGCTGAAGACCACATCCCCTCTCAGGATGTCAAAGTCCCAGGTGATGACTGATTCCCCCTCCAGAATCTCCACCGCAACC